TATAATTATTTCTTCGAATCCTACCACATTTAGCCCGTGTTTGAGCCCCCCACCCCCACCATTTTATTATTATTATTATTTTTTTTATTTTTGGGGATAAACAGATTTTGTAATATTATTTTTTGAAGAACGTGTGCTTAAAAAGGATAAAAAAGTTTTGGGTTTACAAAATATTTCACGGAAGAATGTGATTGAAAAAGAGTTTGAGTAAACATGAATTTTTGAAAAATAGGGTTCAAACAGGGCCTGGTTTTGGATTTGGTTTTTTTTTTTTTTTTTAAATTTTTTGTGCTGTAATTTGAATTTATATGCTTATTCTTTTTCTTGCATACTGATCTTGGTTTAGCACTGATGTTTTTAAGGTATTTTTAGTCGGATTAGACTAGTATTTTGTTCTGGGCATGCCCCTTGTTTATTTGCTGAAGAGTTATGGTTCAATCTGAAATCTAATTTAGGAATGAATTCGACTTGCTACTGCAGTGAACTTGATTTGTGTTGGGTATCTTTGATCACATTTTGCAATATGGCCCCATGTCTTCCCTGATTGATTTTGGTGGCGAATCGAATGATTCTCAATGGTTTAGCCACATTTGGCCTAGTTAGTACCTATCAATCGAGGCCCTCTGATGCATGTCCAAGAAGCTAGAGCCCATCTTGTTCTCTAGCATGTCCAATCATCTTCCCCCAGTAACTTGGTCTTGAAAAACAGTGTGGTGAAAAAAAATGTTATGCAACACTTTAATTCTTTAGTGATTCGATTAAATAGATAAATGATTGATTAAAATTTTAGGCATGTGTAATATAGATTTCAATTTGAGAAAAGGTGAAAGAGTTGTGGTATCTTGTCCTGCGACAGAAGTAAAAGTGCCATCAGCAACTTTGACTATCTGGTCTTGGCTGTCGTATATCGTATATTGGGTGGATGACTCATGAGTGCATCAAATGATCATATGATTGGTGGTACCAGAGTCGATGATACTTGATTTCGAAATACAATTGTTTAAGACACTAACATAGTGAGATAAGGATTCTTATCTGACAGTGCCATTGAACAAGAGGCACTTGGTTTATTTAGTGAAGCGATGCAGCCAGTTCAATCTCTTCGTTGTTAAGACAACCAGTGTTCAAATTACAAGACTTCAGATTGTCGTTGTCGTCAAAATGAGCCATATAAGCTTGTTCTCCATCATGTCCACTGAGATTTTTATTGTCTCTGCCAAAGGATAGGGATTTTCCATTAAATTTCCAGCTTGTCTCTTTAGTGGTGCAATGTGTCTTCTTGCAGTAATTGTGCCACAAGCCTCATTTTTGCTTGGTTGATGACATCGTACACTTCTCTTAGGATGAAATCATTGCTATTACTTTAAGTTGCCACACTATTGAAAGGCATGATTGGAGCAATGGCCGAACCTTCTGATTTGATTGCTAAGCATCTCATTACTATTTCCTTCTTCAGCCCGACTTGGACATGCACTTGATCAAATTCAACATTTGGAGCAGTCAAGAAATTCAAAACTCTTTTCCATATTTAACAAATATTTGCTACATATCATCTTCATCATACTTCAACTTAATATTGTGACAATAGTCAAATGCAAGCCACAAAGCTTTCATAATATTATGTTCTCTACTACAAAGAGATTACCTTATCTACTGGTTGTGATCTTGGTCTATATTTCATATATTTGAGCTTTGCACACATTGGAGTATGATTCGGAAATAGTCTCCATATCTCTTGCTGTAGCAAGGAGTAAATAGTGCCCACTTATTTCTGGCTGCTTAGAGTTCCAAAGCCGATACATATCATGGAATTTCCCTTATCCCACACATCAAACTTGAAATCATGTTGATGCTGGGTCTAAGCGTCTCAATTTCCCTGTCCTTTTTAATAATGTTTCACCAATTGTAAGAGATCAAATAGTTTCGGCCATTGAGTTGCAATGACGATTCAAGGTTATAGTACTTTCTAGATGATGGATTTGGGTGTTAACATTTGAAGTTGGGTTGGAGGGTTTTTTTTACATGTTCCAGACATAATTATTATGGGAAAATGAAATAACGAGCAAAGTTATAGAGATGAACTAAAAATATAACAATGGAATTAGCCGACAAAAGGAAAGCTGTGCAATCCCAAACTAATCCGTAATATTGAAGGTTGAGAGGCACATTGAGATGTTGAGTCTTAAGAAAACACCTTGAGGCTCTGATTCTATAATGTTGGAAATTGATTGTATTTTTTGAATACTTGCATATAGGATATGGTGAATCACTTTCTAATCAAAGATTGACACATGCACAATTTTATTATATTGGTGACATTGAAACTTGATCCTAGAACCTTTGCGTGCTTTGGTACCATCTTGAACCACTTGATCGAAAAGGTCGTTAGATAAAGTTACATGGTTATCAATTATAAATTTTCTTCAAGAGTATACATGAATCATCTATGCTAAATCAAAAAAATACCAAGCTGTACATGCCTAATAATTAGGTATTGCAATAATTAAGGATTATAATAAAAAGTATATTTTTAATACTGTAAAAACTATGATTGTGAACTACATTTAGCTCTTTTCAACACTTAAATATGGTACCCGAAATTTCTTTTTCTTTGGGAGTATTTTAGCACGTTTAGAGTTTCCCCTTTGGATCTGGAGTATCAATGGGTTTGCATTCTCCATCTTAAAATGATCTATAATTTTCTATATATGAGGCTTGATAGAGCAAGAAGTTTTTAAGGACATCAATTTTTTAATGATCTCAATTCTTTCATTTAACATTTTTTTGGCCTATGGGATATCATCTGCTTAAAAGAGAGATAAAATTACTTGGTTTAAGGCTGCAGCCACTAATCATGTAGAAGGGATACCAAACTTTATGTTGTTTCTTTCTTGTTTAAATTGATAATACACCCCCCAAGTATTATTCATGATTAATAAAATTACTTGATTATTTATAAAAAAAAAAAAAAAAAAAGACATAAAATTACAAAGTTTTGATAGGACTTCTTGCATAATGCAATAATCTTCTTTTAGCATGAGGAATTATAATTGACTAGTCAAATCAATTACCATTATGTCGGAAATCATGTTAGGCTGTAAAGTTAGTCCATGTTTGGCCTGCATTTTCTAAAACTTATTTTTATTCAAATTTATTTTCAACCACTCATTTCTTGGGATCCACAACTTTTCAACAACACAATTCATTAACTTTTGTCAAAATCTACTAACAATCTGATTTATATCTAAACCAGATGGGTTTAATCTTCATCTTTTGCCTATTTAGTTCTTTTGGCTTTTTCAATGAAACTTACAGATTGCTTTATGTGGATTTTTTCATCTTGATCACTGCTAGAAACACAAATCTTTATGCTCATTTGATGTGATTCTAACACTAATCCTGTGACTATGGCTAATTGTAGGCATTTAGAATATTTTTTTATTAAAAACTTTCAAAAAGTTTCTTCATAACCTATACCCTTTTACTAGGTATAACCATTTGACACAAAGCGAGTCTTATTCATCACTATGGACCTATCTCTCCTTCACTTAATGTTGGGAAAATATTTGTTCCTAACTAGGAGAAATGGTCAACTAAATCCAAGACTTGGTTGGATATCATAGATTTTATTTATCCTTCTCTTCCATTGCTTTTATCCATGTTTTCTTTGAAAGGTGGCCTGATAGAGATTTATGTACAATTTTAGGCTTTTCATCTATTGAAGATACTAGAAGAGTTTGCCCTTCAATTCTTAATGACTATTTGGTGTACTTCTTTTTGTACTGATACGAAGTTGAAGTTTAGTTATTTGTCACATCGAAACAGATTGTTCCCACTTTGATCTGAAGGGAGGTTGATTTTGCGACATTCTCTTCCTTTGCACATGAGTGATTTTTAGGGAGGTTGAACGTTTTATATTTAGCATGAGAGATGTTAAGGAGGTTCGAGGTTTTTTTTAAAGGTAAGTAATAAACTATTACCGCCAACTCTTTACTAAAGACTGTGTGTTGGGTCCCAAGTGGACTATGACCCGTTATCCCACGTGTTCGAATGTGTCTCAGCACTCATCTAAGTCGTTCCCCAACTATAATTTAAATGGTTCCTTCGACTCTTTGACATTCCTTTAGATTTCTCAGTTTCTGTTTGTGCTTTATGTTTTCTGTTGCTTTTCACCTCTTTTGCAATGCTTCAAGAAGTTAAGAATTGAAGTTCACTTTGTTACTTAGAGTGAATGCATTATACGTAATGTGGTTCTTTTTTTAGGCATACGCTAGATTGATTTGCTTTTGTCTGTTGCCAGCGTTCATGTACTGTGAGGAGGATGGTAAACCGTGAAGATCTCTTTTTCCTTGATTCTGAAGCAGCCTTAGGTGTGCCACGCTCTCGAGTAGATGACTCTGGATCTAGACGTCATGTTAGACATGGTTTTCCTGAAGGACTTGCAGAGGTTTGACTTTATCTTTTGCAGTTGGCTTATCCACTTTCTTGTGATCCTATCTAATTATTCTTTTATTTTATTGAACTAATTGAATATTGCACGATTTTCTACAATGAAACTCATTTGTAGAAATTTTAAATTTTGAAAGAGACAGCTTTAACATTTGCATATTATATACCATTTTTGTATTTCTTTTGATATGATTCTTCTTGCAAAATAAATAAATCAAAGCTTAACTTGCTCTATTTTGTGAGAATCTTTTAAAGGTTCTTTTATTTATTGTGTCTACTGGTAAAATGTTAGAATTCTCTAGATTTAGTTGGTGTGTTGGAATCATTATCCAGTCATTGGAAAGAATGCCAAGCATAGACTTGGATATAATGGATAAACACGGGTCACATACTGTGAGAACTACTGACATTTATCCTAAAAACTAGCACAAACGAAATCTTGACCCTTAGATCTACATGCTACTTGCTTGGCTCTGTGTGAAACCATACGTACAAGATCGTGACATATATAATCTGACATGTATAATCTGGAAGGAACTTGGTATCATGAACCCAGTAGAGACCAAACTATGAATGTAACAAGTTCTTACTATTGTTTCACTTTCTTAATGTTAGGGGAAAACACAATAAGACTGTTGGTTCTTGATCTTAGAACATCAATTGAACTGAGTAGCAATCTTGGAACTATGAATAAGAATGGTTTTGATGCAAATATGAGGAAGTGTTTATAACAGACATTAAGCCCCTGTTCAATCCCCCTCATTCTCTAAAATTTCATTTTCCCCCAAACTCATTCTCAATCTATGTTCTTCAAGTAAAATAATTTTGCGTGTAAATCCAAGACCTTTCCTACTATTTAATTACTTCTCCAAAAAAAATCACTATTACAAAATCAATTTTCCGAAAAATGGGGCTCAAACATAGCTTAAAAGTAAACTTGGTTTAAAATGTCGATAAGGTCACTTTTAACCGTCTAAATGTTCATTTTTGTAGAATAAAATTAACTCTATGGAATATTGAATGTTAGGTTGCTAACAACTTGAGAGTTTGATTGACTTTTCTATAGACAAAAATGGCTATCTAAGTGGTAATGAACATTTGTATTTTGAGATTTCTCTAGTGCCTCCAGGTTAAATGTTTTAAGTTTTATGGCATTTTTTAGTCAAGAATGTAGCCATCATCGACTGATTGTAATTGGTAGTGTCTCTAAAACCTTTTTATCTCATGTTTAAAAAATTATAACGCCCTAGAAATATTATGCTTTTGAGGAGAAATGTCTGTCTATGGTATTCCATAACACTTAAATTGCTGAAAACACTTTCTTTTTATAGATTGTCATGCTTCAAAGTAGTCTGCTGATGGGTGGTCGATCAGATGGACTTGATCAGTATGGGGATTGGAGACTTGATGTCGATAGCATGTCATATGAGGTATGACTCCATGAATGCCTTTGTTTTATCTAGTTTTGATTTAAACTGTTCTAATGGGCACATAATTGAATCTTGATGTTATCATTTTGTGTGATAAACAGGAATTACTGGAACTTGGCGAGAGAATTGGGTATGTGAGCACAGGACTGAGAGAGGAAGAGATAACTCACTGTTTGAGGAGGACAAAGCTTGGAATATTAGATAATTTTTCATCACATTTCCCAACCGAACTGGAAAAGAAATGCAGTATATGCCAGGTTGGTCATACGAAATTTATTTCAAGCATCTTTTTCTGTTTAGGATCATATTATTTCATCATATTGAAAATCCTTGACGTTCTTCTGTCCAGGAGGATTATGAAGCTGATGATGAGATGGGAAAGCTGAACTGTGGACACTTCTATCACACAAACTGCATAAAGGAGTGGCTTGTGCAGAAAAATATTTGCCCCATCTGTAAAACTGCAGCAGTCTCTCAAACCTAGAACCTAAAAACTCCCTGCAGCTCAAGTAATTCATACTGTTTCTTTGTTTGCTAAATAGATTTCATCTTCATCAAATTCAAGATCCTTCTTTGATGTGGTGAAGTGATACATTCATGTTCTTGGGACGTTCTCTTGTTGTTTGAATGTTGAAAATTAAATTATCATTGAGATCATTGTAAGTATTTTTCGTTTTTATCAAAACGGTTCTGCAGTTTGTTGAAAACGTGTGTAAATGAATTCTTGTGTCACTGTTTCTTTGCATGTTCAACCGTGTTTCTTTGGTTATGTTTTCTTTAACAAAGATGTATGGGTCATGGCTCTTTAGATACGCCGAGGTCTCAGAATTTGTGTCAGATAAACCTCACATGATAAGTTAGACGGAGATGGAATTTTCTACATGGAGTTCATATCAATACCGAGTCCATTTCAAACAAAACTTTATGACAAGAGATTGTTGTGGCCCTGCATACATTGGAGCTTCAAAACTACATGAGTACTAGGCTTAATTTGCTTAAAACAAAACAAGAAGCCGGGTTTGATTCTTAGAGTTTGATCGAAGGATTGTGGAGGGAAGAAGATATCAGCAGTTTTCACTCTTTCTGGCTTTGTAATATGAATCTCCCAGTGGAATATTGTAGGATTTAGAGATGATGGATGTCACACTCCTAAGAGTAAGCTAAGTAGATTTTAGAGTTGAAATGAAAAAGAAAGTGTGTGGAAGCAAGGTTTGGCCATATTTTATATATAGAAGCGAAGTAAGAATGTATAGAGGAAGAGTCAAGAAGGAATGAAAGGGATAATTTGCATGAAATGTGCCTATGAACTATTCCTGTTTCGAGCTCATTCATTGTTAGTTACATGTCATATGTTAGAAAATGTGGTATTATAGCATTGTTTTAAACTCTACTTTTACATCTATTCGGAGAAGACAATAAGTAATGCTATTTAATATTGTTCTAAAATGCAGCCTAGGCTGGAAGCTTGTCCCATTCTCCTAGTCATGTTTTACGTTATTTTATGCCTAGGCAGGCTCGTAAAAGTTTGAAACTTGATTTTGCTACCTAGTCACACTTTTTAGAATAAATGATGCTTTTAGCACCATTATTGCTTAATATTAGTCTAGATGTACTTGAAATCATTAGTTCAATAAAAGAGAGGATTTAACGTTGGAACTAGTCAGTAATAGTTGGGAAAACGAAAGTTTTCTTCATAAGCTAGGTTTAATGAACTGAATCTTTACAAGATTATTATGTGATGTATGTACCATATAGGTGTTGAAGAGATTACACCTGCTCCAAGCTACTAATTCTTGATCTTGAATGAGATCGATGAATCTACAAGCCTCCAATCTTTAGTTATCTTCCGGCAATTGTTTCTTCTTGATACAAGCCTCTAACCCTTAGATCATCTCTGGTTATTCTTGAAGGTCCTATTGCACAAGATATGTGGGCACCAAAAGCAAGATCACCAATTGCCATAACCCAGCTCTCAAGAATGGGTTAAATTCATCAATGGCTATCCAACTTTCTATTTAGTGTCATTGATTTCTTTTTAACATTGCCACCCAACTTCACTGATTTTAAAAGCGGTAAATTGTAATTTTGTATTATATATGTAAAATAGATTTTAAAAAAAGGAAATAAAAGTATTTTTTATTTAAAAAAGACCTTTTTAAATAGGTTCTTATTTTGCTTTTCTAAGTATCATTTTTTTAAATAAGTTTTTATTTTGTTTTTAATTTTTTTTAAATAAATTTTTATTTTTTAAGGAACTTTTTTTAAATAAATTTTTACTTTATTTTACATTTCTTAGTAACTTTTTTTTTCCAAATAACTCTTTATTTTATTTTAAAATTATTTTATTTTGTTTTATTTTTAAACTAATATTTTTTTTAAAATAAAGCTTTTATTTTATTTTATTTCACTTTTTTTTTTAAAAAACAATTTTTTATTGTATTTTTTTCAAATTTATTTTTTGAGAATATTTTTAAGTTGCATGGCTTGCCCAAATCTATTGTTTGTGATCATGATCCTACGTTCACCAACTCATTTTGGAGAGAATTGTTTCGTTTAAATGGGATATCGTTCAATTTCAGCCTCAATTATCACCCACAAACCGATGGCCAAAGTGAAGTGGTTAATAGAACTATAGAAATGTATTTCAGGTGTTTTACAAGCTCAAGACCCTAAGAATGGATGGAAATGGCTTCCATAGGCGGAGTATTGTTATAATACTAGCTGTCACGCTTCTCTAAAAAGGACTCCATTTGAGGTCGTTTATGATCGCGAACCTCCTAAATTGTTGCATTACATTCTTGGAACTGGTCGAGTGGAATGAGAATTATTGGAAAGAGATCAAGTTCTTAAGGATGTACGCCATGATATTTTGAAAGCCCAAGAACGGATGAAGAAAATAGACAATGCTAAGCATAAGGAGCAAGAGTTTGTAGTAGGTGATTGGGTATTCTTGAAGTTTCAACCATGCAGGCAATCATCCCTTGCATCCCGAAGGAATTTCAAATTATCTCCCCGTTATTATGGGCCGTTCGAAGTGTTAGAAAAGATTGGAAAGGTGGCATATAAGTTAAACTTACCTTCCTCTTCCCGTTTACATCTAGTATTTCATATTTCAATACTCTAAAGGAAGGTTGGGGACCAACAAACAATTTTTAAGATATACCATCAATAGGAGAAACTTTCAAACACCATCCTCAATCCATAATTAGCTCCAGAGTCAGGAAGGGAAAATCTGATGTGCTAGTTTTATGGCAAGGACTATCGCCAAAAGAAGCAACTTGGGAAGATCACCAAGTTATCCAAGAACGTTTTCCAGAACTTACCCTTGAGGACAAGGATGATGCTCAGAGAGGAGGGATTTGATACAACTCCAAGTCGAGGAAGTTATGGACGCAGTTGGGAAGTATCTGATATTTTCTGTTCTTTCTCAAATAAGTTAGTCTGTTAGTTTGTTATCAATTTCCTACTTTAATGGATGTAAACGTTGTGCCGAGCTCTATTTAAGTGTTGGGAACTGTTTAATAAAGGTAGCAGAAAATTTTAACAAGTCTCTTTTGAAAGAAATTGGGATGTATTGGTTCCTCATATGAACCAAATTATTTGTTGTTTTTGCTATTCATAACTATTAATTCTTTAGTGGAAATGGTGAAAAGAAGTAGGGTGGCCACGCTGGAACGTTATATGAAATTAAATGATAATGATAGTAGTAAGTATAAAGTTGTTGGATAGTCATGATAAAATAAAATCAAATTGAGTAGTCATGGTAATATTAAATATAAAGTTGGGTAGCCATTAGTGGATTTAACTCCTCAAAAATTAAAAAAAGCTGTTATGAATATCAAGAATATTTTAGAATATCCTCTATTTATATAGATCTAAGGGACTGTTTGGGCCTGATTTTTTCAACCAAAAAATTGATTTTTTGACCGTCATTTCACTATTCCAGCCGTCATATTTGATTTCTTCTCTCACAGGTGGACCCCACTTTTCTCCTAACGGTTAAAAAAATCAATTCTCAAAATCACTCCCAAACAGACTCTAAATAATCTTGTTTCAAAAGGATTGGTATTCCATTTGATTAAAAAGCGTTTTATCCATGCTAAAACTCTTGTGACTTTGTCAAACTTGACCACCTCGATCAAACTTGAATTTGGACCAATAAAAATTGTGTTTGACCAGTCAAAATCATATTTAACTTTTGGTCAACCAGTTGATTTGGTCAAAGTTGGACCTAGTTATTATTTCACTTAAGCTCTCATTTTTCTTCCAGATTTTTTTTTCGTGAACATGTTGTCGAAATTCATTCGAGTATTCCCAAATATTGAACGGTGGTTTACACTGCTAAGAAGAAAATACTTAAGTGGATTCATTAGCCCATTCACATAGGTTGCGAATTCGAATACATCTGATTACTTTGTTTGGTTTAGACTCCCAATTTACCGAGATATTTGACCATATAATTAGATCTCACTTACTGGTACATCAAATATTCTAGAGTTCATGAATAATAATCACTATTTCAATACAATTCATGTAAATCAACTACTCTAACAATATCGAGTGAAAATGTATTTATACGCTTGTCCGGATCGAAAAATATTAGCATTTAATAGTTCTTTTGATTGATTATAGTCTAGTTTATGTTTCATTTATTAGGTGAAAGTGAAATTGGAAGAAAGAGACAAAAAATGGTGAAAAATAGTGAAATTCAAAGTTCGAGGGACCAATTACAGCTTTCCAACAGTTGATACGGATGACAAAATAAAGATTGAAGTTGTTACGGGTTCAATTGGATGTAAGTAGAAGTTAAAGGGCTAAAATTGCAAGAGAAAATAGCTAAAAAAACACGCAAGAATCGAACTTAGGGACCAAATTACACATTCGCAAAACTTATAACGCAGCTTTTGGAGAATTTTTACTGAGAACGGGCGCCTAGGCGTTATCCCTAAGCGCCAGGCGCCACATTGCTGAAAATTTCAATTGAAACATGGAACCTAAGCACCTCTAAAACCCTTTTTTTTTTTTTTTTTATAGATCTCATCTCCAATTGAAATTTTGATGCAATTTTCATCCAATTTTCGAGCCCTATGAATATATAACAGCCTTATATATATGTAAAAAACCTCTCATACTCCTAACAGCCTTATATATATGTAAAAAACCTCTCATACTCCTAAAATTATCAATCAAAGCTATCAAAGAGAGGCCAAATCATTGAGAATTAAGGGGCAATTGCAAGATTTCAACCAACTGAAGATTAAGAAACTATTGAAGAGATTCAAAATTTATCTTCTTCTCCTTCATCAATCTATAATTCAGGCTTTGTTTTCTCCAATTAATTATGATTTCTTATGATCTTGTAATGCTAGCCTAGGGTTTTAATTACTAAGATATTGATGAACTCTTATTATGATGTTTTAATATAAGCCCTTGTTTGATCCCCATTTTGGAGGAAATAATACATTTTGAATAGTAGATTGATTGAAAATGTGTGGTTAACAATTAAAGAAAAGTTTTGAATTTGCGTGTAATATTATTTTATTGAAAAATGTGTAGTTGAAAATGAGTTTTAAACAAAATGAATTTTTAGAAGAATGGAAATCAAACAAGGGATAAATTTGGTAATTTGACGTTCAATATGTGTTTATTCTTGGATGATTATTACAAGATTTAATGACTTTTCAATTAACTGATCACTAAGTGGATTGATTGTGAATTTTATTAATTTTGAGGGAAATAATAGAA